GTGACTTAAGTCACGATGCCTATATTCTCCACATTCACCGGAAAAAATGAAGGTATAACCTATACTGCAAGAGATCCAACTATAAATAACTATCATCACATAGTACTGTTACATATTTTTTTGTTTAAATCCTTTTATTAAATAGGCAGTGTGGAATAGAAATTTAGAGATTCAAAACAGGAGAATTTATTTAAATAAGAATCAACTAGCTGATTTTCAGAATCAACTCTAAACACTACAGTTGAATATTAAAGATCTTGATCGATCGTTTAATTTAAAATATGCATGGTTACACAATGCCCTCAGTTTTTTAAAACATTCAAAATTACTGTAGTAATATCTGTATATACTATTTACGTGCCTTGGTATAATGAGTTTTGAATATAACGAACTAAAAATTTTAATAATTCGGTATAGAGAGTATTAATATTACGTACTTCAATTTACAATCGAAAAATTTTTTTATGAACTTTAAATAAAAGAGATCACTGTGGCTGATTAATGTGCCACCAACCTGGCACATTTGTCTAAGTCAGGTTTAAGTAGAATTTTGCAATTAATTTAAAAATCAAATTTTAGACACTAGTCAAGCCGTGTTTTTCTTATTAATTGTTGTATATACTTTTATATTAGATTGGGTAATAAAAAATTTCTAGTTGATTATATTGCAGTTTAGTTTCAAGGTAAAATTGCAATAGTATAAATTTATTTGGATAACTTGTTTTTATTATTATACGGGATCTTAGGCAGATATAAAGCGTTAAAATAAAAAAAACTCATCAGATTATTCTTTTTATTGGAGTATTGGAAAAATCTAAAAGTCCAGTAGGTATTATGTTTTATAGCGCTAATTAAAACCCTTAATGCTAATTAATATTGTATTTCTGTACGTAATAAAATAAAACGAGGATCAGAAACTCGGAAAATTTTCGAAATACAAAAGCAAATTTTTACAGTTGACAATAATTATATTAAAAATTTTGTCAATTCTTGTGCTCAATTCAGATCGACTGAAATTACAGTCATTGTAACAACATTCTGTCTTCTACAGAAATCAATCCACCCTCTGGAATAAACATCTCCGTATCTTCCGAATTTTCATTTCTTTCCAAAACATCCATTGTTGCTTGCGGAATCCTTACGCTATTTGGATCTGTTGAGCCAGCCCTACTACCAAACATCATTGCTTCCATTTTAATAAATTCGTTTTCTGAATTAAAAAGCATTGGCATTTTAAATAGATTGAATTTCGTCAAAGTTCTACAAAAAATGTTTATAAAAATAAATTTACGAATCTCTTAATTATATCTTTAATATGCATACTCATACACTTACCGGTCTTCTTCAGTTTCGAAATGTACTTTAAGATCATTATCCATAGAATTTGCTAGATTGCAGATTTTCTATTTGGTATAAATACATCTTAGTACAATATATTACTAATATACAATTTTATATAATATTTATCTTAAAAAAATTACATGCATATATACCTTTAAGAGTGGAATACAGAGAGTTATAGCCCATGTTTTGTCAATATCGTATTCTTTAAACTCTTTTTTATTAACGCAGAACTTTGAGATCACTGATTGTCCGATCCCATCTGGATTATTGAAAATTATTTGTTATAACTTCTTTTCTTAGGTGTTCTTAAAATATTTCGCTTACCTTCATCTTCTAACATCGTATCAACTGCTCCTATGTGAAGTACATCAAGTGTATGATAAAGTGTGATATCGTTCACCGTTCGACCTAACTCATTCAACCAATTTTTCACGATAAATGGTTCAATAGTCCATTTGTTTTTGCAATCCTTAGGATCAATGGTTGAAACCAAAGTTTCGAAAGTTGCAAGGTTGGCATAATTTCGGGAGAATTTCATAAGATCAGCTATGTAGATATATAAATTATTTCTATTAATCTATAATGATAAACTTAATAATATTTTATAATGTGAATTACCCGTTTGATCACCAATTTCGAAGACTATACGGTCAGAATTTCGTTTGACATAGAACGTTAATTTCGTGATCTTGGTTAGACACTTAAAAATCGGCTTGATTCCAGGTGAAGGAAGTTTATAGAAATTCTCAAATGATGCGTGATACTCCGAAAACATTCGTGCTTTCAACTTGATAACGGGATTTGGCCAACCTTCGACATCAATTCCTGACAAATATATCTTAGGGATAATAACAATTATATAAATTATTATTAATATCATATTTATTACGTCGGTAAAAATCAATTTAACATACATGATCGTCTTTCGTTACTATAACAACTTCGTCACAGTCGCACAGGCATTGCATAACATTACGGAACACTGAGAAATCGCGAGTCGCGTTAAAATTCCGGAAAACACCATAAAGGTACGTATATAAACCTATTGAGTCTTTAATGTTGTACCACAAATTGCTTCCAGTTTAATTGTTGCAACGAATTCATATTGTGATGCCATCTTATTGCTTTTCTAAGTAAAAGGTTTTCTGAAAAGAAATAACAATTTGAATCAGAATGGTATAAACTTAGCAAAGCATGAAATAAACAATGGTTCTTTTCAAGCATTTTACCTTCAAGCAGCTCTTAGATATTCTGTTAGCTATTCTGTTAGAAATAGCGTGAGAAGAAAGCATAGAAGTTCATTTATTTACACGAATTCTAAATTTATCGATTTTTCCCCACAATTCTGATTGGTCAACTCCTTGTCACGAGATCAAATGATCTATTTCGGACTGTTACACGAAACCAAATATAACAACCAATGAGAAACTCAAATATATATCTAATGTCCAAGTGCTTTTGAAAACACTAATTAAAATATTTTTTTTAAAAAAAATTTGTATTACTAAAAGCTGAATTTATTATCTTCAAACTGAATTAACTAACAAGTTGAAATTTGACGAATTGATTATCATGTGATCCAGTCAATTTCATGATCTTTCATTGAAAAATTAAATATTACAAAATCATTCAACTTCACGTCCACAACATTAAAGTTATCGTTGTCTTTCAAAATTAAAAAAATGGCAATTATTTTAGGGCACGGCTATTACATTCGGAGACCGGATATATTATTTGGAATAACGATAAATAATATCGGAATTTTCTGGTCCCTGCTTTCATTCCACAATGGTTGTATTACATAAGTGTTGACCAATTAGGTTAAACGAAAAAATTTCTGTCATGATAAATTACAGTATTATCGGAAATGACTGTTGACATGTGATAGAAATATTATACAGAAACTTAAATATTTTACATAGTAACCGCATAACAATTTCGTGACCACGTGATGATATGCGCTAAAATTTCATTGGCCAATTTCAACCACAGATCGTCAATGCATTTTTCGAATAATAAATTAACTCTTGACGCGTTAGGGTAAGGGTGAGCACTCGGGTTAGGGTAAGAGGAGGCTTATTTATAGTAAAATTTTGCAAGGAATTTTTTTTGTTAAGAAACGGAAGGTAGTTTTATAATAAAAATTTTGAGTTATGGACGATTTTTTGAAAAAGCCGGCAGTTTGTTTTGTTTTCACGTTACACCTGATCCAGTGTCGTAATTGTATAATACTTAAAACTCTTAATTCGCGTAACAATGTAGTTAACGATGTAATTACTACGTCATTACTATGCAGTTACTACATACCGTAAATTGCCGCATAAACCACCCCTTTATAGAATATCCCCTTCTAGATGATAAGATTATGTGGTCAAGTATTATATACCGCCTTAGGGTTGCTTGATTTTAATTGGTCAATTATTTTTATACCGCAAAACAGATCCCCTCAAAGTAGACCCTCCTCCGTACAGCAGACCCCCCGGGGGTGGTTTATGCGGAAATTTACGGTATTAAGATATTTAAAGTTTACAAAACAATAGAAGGACCAATATGGGTAATTATTTTTGAACCCGGACCAATTTTATATGACGTAAATAACATTTTAGACTGGATTCAAAAATAATTACCCATATTGCAGCCAACGATGAAAACAATTGAGAGTTGGAGAGAATAAATAGTAAAGTGAAATAAAAATTCACATACTAATTATTTTCTATTCTGACATGCGTCTGAAATAAAATATGTTTGGACTTTAACAGATTACATAATGATTCTCAATGGAAAATCTATGCTGTGGATGGGAGTGTCCCTGAGGATATCTATTTCACAAAATGAATTTTCACGTTTAAGCAATATGGACACCATTTTAACATACTTTATATATATCATTGAAATTCATAAACCACTTAAGGCCGCTCATTGCTATCACAGCCTAAATATGCTTGCTGACAAAACTATAAATCTTCTCAAATCAAAATTTAAAATAAAATATCCCAAATTCCAAACATATTTTAATTACAGTATTTCGAAACCCAACCCTCACGGATTTTGCCAACAAGATAGGCCCAAGTTATTCATAAAAATTTTTAAAACAGTCAAACCTCCCTAAATGCAACTCAGATAACAACAAAAAAATTGCATTTATGTGAGGTCTATTATATATTTGAGCTAGAGTTAAAAGTTGCACTTGGAGATATTGCATTTAGAGTCCATATAGAAGGGTTTGACTGTAATTTTTTTTTACATTAAACATTGATGCAGCAGTAATTACACAATCTTTACGTGGTGAGTCAGCAGAGACACACCAAAATTATATGCTTTAAATTTCAAATTAAAATATTTCAACAACCATTAAAAGTATATATTTTATAATTATATAAACTTATAGAATTATAGAATATTAGTAATTGTTGAGATATTTTATTTAAAGTTTATATTAGAAAAAAAAACTTAAAAAATTTTGGTGCATTCCTAGTGACTTACCCAATATGTATAATTAATTATCAAACTAAATTTTTAATTCTATTGATAGATTTTTGTTCTGAAAATCATTTTTTGAATATGTTATATCAAAAATTGGAATAAGGTTTATTCTGAGTTAATAATTATGAATGGTAAGGTTATTATAACATACCGTGTTTATTTATTGACTTATTGATATACCCTTATTAAAATCTTTATGTACCAAACGAAAAAAATTGATATTAATAAATTAAAATAAAAAATGATGTTACATACACTAAATGCCAATGGTATTTTAGTAATAATAAAACGATTAAGGATCTAATCCACGTTAGCCGTTCTTTGTTCTTGTAAGAACTACACTTTTATAAAGTACTTTTCTAGCATCATCTTTACCTTTAACACTAACCAATGGGAATGAGCAAATTTCTACTTCTAAATCATGAATTTCATGATCATCCCATGTTCCTTCCATAATATTGACCTGCAAAGGTGTTCCAGCTTCAAAAAATTCGGTAAATTCTGGTACAGGCTCTTGTGCAATTAATCTAAAATATAAAGGTGCAAAATTTCTCGCTATTTTTTCTGCCCTTTCATGTGATTCCGTTTGCTTATCATTATTCTTGAATTGTCGATATTTACCAACAGTTTTTAGAATTGTGTCTGTTAATTGATCAATAAATGGATGTTTATCATTACAAAATCCTCGAGTTCCTAACACTGAATAAACTTGCTGACGGATATTTATAGGTGTTACACGTGTTATATCGTCAGTTCCTTCCCGTGACTCAGAAAGTTGCTGCACTAAGTCGCATAATACTTTCATGCATGATGTTATTTCTGCCTCAAGATTATTGTCATCAACAAATTCAATAGTTTGCTCTTGCTCAACAGTTGGCTCTTGCCCTAGGATTGGAGGTAGAGATGGTCTTGTAAGTGATTGTGACCTTCCAATGGCAATCGCAGCGCGTGCTTTCTTCTCTGGATCCTGTTTATCTACTTCTTGTGGTTGTTGTTGTTGTGACTGTTGTGGTTGCTGTGGTAGTTGTGGTAATTGCTTTGGTTGTTGTGGTTGAGGATGTTCACTTTGCTGATCTGAGGATTGTAATGATAAAGATGATTGTTGTTGGATTTCAAGTTTTGGTTGAAATAAGTATTCATTAATAAAGCGAAATATTTCCTCAAGAATAAGACGTTGTAAAGCAGCGCTTAACACCGGTTTTCCCTTTCCTTCCCCAACCCTCATTGCGCATTTGTAATGAAGTAATAGTTCATTAGCAGCATTTTCATTAATAGACACATCTTTGCCTTTAACTGAGGTAAATTCTTCCAATAAAACCACTATACCAGAAATCGTTTTTGCAAGTTCCACTGTATTACTGTTGCTATCGTCCCCAAAATGAAAATTTTTAGCTTTTCCAAGAGCATCTTGGTATTTACGAGTTTCTTTCTCTAAGTCTACAAGTTGTTTCTTTAAATTCTGAATTTCAATATCTGATTCATTACTTCTACGTTGCCATCGATTTTTTTCAGATTCAAAACGTAAGTTTAATTCATGAAGTGAATTTTGTAATGATCCATTGTTTGTTTCTGCTTCACTAACTTGTAACTGCAACTGTTTTGTTTCTTTCTCCAATTCTTCATTTTGCTTTTTATATTTGTCACCTGCATTTTGCATCGTTCTATATTTTTCTTCTGCATCTTTAGCATTAACGGAAAACCGGATGTTCTCATAGTTTTCTTCCTTTTCTTCATTTCGTTTATTGTGCCGACCTTAAAGATTGTTTTAAATAAAATAAATTTTCATCATCCGGAATTTGCAATTTTTTATTTAGTTCCTAAAACCTCACCCGTATTGTATGGCCTCTTTGCTTTTTTGGTTGGTACTGGTGGTGGCCCGGACATTATAAATTATTCAGGCCTTCAATTATCGAAAATTAAGTTATATGAAAAATTTCTATATCTCGTCGGAAGTAAGGGCTGAGTCAAATGCGTTTGTTAATGTTGTTAATGTACTTGTGTTTTTAAAATATGTTAATGTTTGTAATACTTGTTATACGACAGTTACGGATAAGTGCTTTCATTTAATCAAGCACGCTTATCAATTACATAATTGGAATAAAAAAGTTATTTTTATGCCAAATATTTTACCTGGTAGTAGTATTTTTCGATCACATGATCTACTGCAAAAATCATCCCTATTTTCTGTATTTAATGAAAATAATATAAGCGAAAAATGTCCCCCCGCTTTCTATTACCTAAAGTGTTATAGAATAGCATAACACCCTCCAAAAGGAACCTCGGCAAAAATTGAACCGATTTCCTTTTATGGTAAATTTCTTTAGCCAACCGCCTATTATTCTAGCAAAGTCTTGTCGGCTGTGGTATCTCTTTAAAAAAAGATACTGCGTTCTAACTTTAGTTGATAATGCTAAAAGTTTCTTAACGAGAAAAATTTTAAACTACGCAAAATAAGTGAACAAAGCACTGTGTGTTGAAACGCAACTTTTTTTGTACAGTTTCTGTTTTTTTTTTTTTACTAAAGTATACGTGTTCAGCTTTGACGAGCTAGACTATCCGTACAAATATGGTTAACTCTCCATTGCCAACAGATCTAGCGGGTAAAAACATATTTACATTTACTTACAATGGCTTTTTTATTACTGTCAAGCAACTTTAAAATGTATTTGTTTCCCAGGCGAATGTAGAAAAGCGGCAAAAATCCTGAATAGCTTCATTGGTATGTACTAATTGCCATTATTATATTTTGTCTTTAAATTTCAATTATTCCTCAATTCATGATTTACTCGGTGATTGCTATTTCCTGCCTTCTATAGACCCGATTGCAGCAAAGGTATGTTAAAATTAGGGTCATCTGGGTGAAAATCCCCCATTAGAAAACAGAGTAACGGTTGGGGTTTCCCTGGTCCATCACCCCTATAATTGATGAATCTTTTTGAAATAATTCATTTAATATTTAACATCATATTATCGTTCTAAAGGGTCCTGATAAGGTTATTCCACCAAATATTTTGCAAAAAGCAAAAGGTTTTGCGATTTTTACCGTTATCAAGGCTGGCTTTGTTTTCTCAGGAAGAGCAGGTTCGGGATTAGTCATTGCAAGGTATATCACGCGTTATTTATATACTATTTTAATAGTAGAAACTAATTTAAAATTTATCCATTCTTTTTTTCCTAGACTTGAAGACGGATGTAAGCAGTTCACTTTAAACATGATTAATCATCATTAAATTCTTAATTTTAATTCATTAATCTAATTCTATACGTTCTAGCATGGTCCGCTCCATCAGCAATTGGTACTGGTGGTATGGTAAGCTTGATAAAATAATTTTTATCCATTCCTTATAATCATGTTAATTTATTTTGTTGACTTTTATAGGGTTTCGGTGGACAAATTGGTGCCGAGATCACTGATTTTGTTATAGTCTTGAACAGTAAAGCTGCTGTTAAATCTTTTATGCATGGTGGAAATGTTACTTTAGGTGGAAATTTGTAAGTACATATGCTTTTTTCATTTTTGATTTTCGTTCTCATTTATTTGTAATTTCTTTGCATCCAACATTCTACCATCTATTTGTTGAAATTAATTATAGGTCGGGTATGTTAATAATATGCTCTGGATAATATGCTGGATTATGGATAATCTTACTTACTAGTGTTTTGATAATCTTGATAGTTGCTGCTGGCCCAATTGGGAGAAACGCAGAGGGTGCTGGTTCTGTTTCTCTTGGGCACGTTGCTGCTGTATTTTCTTACAGGTTAGTTCAATAATTATCATAAATTTGTTTACAATAATAGTGTATTGATTTATGTTGCATTTCTATTTTAGCAAAACAAAAGGTCTATTTGCAGGGGTTTCTATCGAAGGCTCTATAATTATTGAACGCAAAGATGCAAATGCGAAATTATATCATCGCAAAGTTACTGCTAAGGAGCTTCTTTCTGGACAAGTACCACCACCACCTCAAGCTGATGTTTTATATAGAGCACTAAGTGCGAAAGCCTCTCGTTCTTCTACTTATGAAACTACAAATTCTGATCTGTCCTCAGAACATGATGATGCTACGTCAATAAGATCAGCAGGAACCTCTCAATCCGTTCCGAGAAATTATCGTCATAGTCAGCCACCTCCATATTCTGCCATAAAACCAAAATCAGGAGAGGATAGACCTCGCAGTACAAACCCTTTTGATGCTGACAATTCAAATTCTGCAAAGTCTGTTAATCGGTCGATTTCCTTATCTCATAACAATTCATCCAAACCCCCGCCAATAGCGCCAAAACCACAGATTCCTCCTCGTTCACCAAAACCACAAACAGCTCTTGCATTGTATGATTTTACTGGAGAACAAGAAGGTGACCTTAGTTTTACAAAAGGAGATCTTATCATTGTTACGAAGAAAACAGAATCCAACAATGATTGGTATGAATTGATTTAATATTTCTATTTGTCTATTATGCTCATTATAGACACATGGAATATTAACATAATCTTAACAACATTTTTAGGTGGACTGGAAAATGTAAAGGACAAGACGGAATTGTAAGTTTTAAGTTTATTTTTAATTTATTTTATGATGTCGTTTGTTAATTTACAGTTTTTTTTTGTTTTTTTTTTCAGTTCCCTGCTAATTATGTGCAACTACAATAAGAATGAAGAGGCAGAAACATGTTATCTAAAACATGTTATCTAAAATATATTAAAATTCTATATCATTATTTGTTATTTTTATCAAATTTTTCGCGCGTTATTTTAGCTTGCATACTTTATATAGTCTCACCTATTCCTTATACTGCCATACTATCATACTATTATAACGTTGAAATATTCTGCAGTACAAACTATGGTCTAATACAGCTCGTTAGTTGGTCACGTTGAATCGTGAAACTTGCAGGTAGATTTGTCTGTAAGAGATGGTATTCAAATGATGGCTAGGCCACAATGTATTATTTCTCCATATCTAAACGGTCGTCTTTTAAATTTTTCTTTAAGAGAAATGTAATTTTATAAAGTATTTTTGTCAATTTAGCTTTATAAAAGTTGATTATTTTCCTAAGTGAATTTAATTGTCCATATTACAATTGCCATAAGTATGCGCAATTTTTTTTATAAAATCTTTATCCATAGTTGAGACTTTATTACAAACCCAAGATTTTTGAAGGTATAAAATCGACTTGGTGACCTAAGGCATTTGCAGAAATATGAGGTACAATTAGTGATCGCCTGAAAATTTTTTATATTACGATGGATTTACCAGTTCCATCATTTTAGTTATACTGCTCTAAATACGATAAATGTGAATTTAACAAAAAAGGAAAACTCGAGAGTTATCATGACCTAAGTATATTAAAAATTCGTGTGGTTAACCATGATCAACTTATAGTTGACAGTTAAATTACTGAATTGCGGCCGTATTAACATTTTTTTATTGCGTTATTTCCATATTATATTGCGAAGTAACGTCCACCTGCGTTATTTGAGTATATGCGCGTTATATTTTCTATGCTTAAGTTTTTTACTTATTTATTTTTACTTTATATTTTTATTTATTTTTAACTTCAAAGCTTTCTTTAAGTATTCTTACTTTTTTTTTTTTTTTTTTATCTTATTATTTTTTATTAAATTAATCGTTTAACCGTATCTTGTAACTGTTTACCAAACTGGTCTAATATCAGTTTCAAAAATTTTGAACATCATTCAGCTGAGGCAAAATTTGTGCAATTAAATTTCTTAAATTTTTAGCATTTCCATTTTAGAATACAGTATTTTTTTAGTATGTCCATTTTTCAGGATTTGTACAGTCCCAGTGGGTGATTTTTTTAGCATCTGTGATAGATAAAACGATGAATGAACGATATAATATGTAATGGTATCGTAGTATGAGAAAATCTAGAATATTTAATTGCAAAAAAAGTTAGCTCGACAAATGATATAAAGACATATGAACCTGAAATGTATAGAAATCATTTGACTGCCCAGGGAACGGGTACTAGTCGCCCAAATCCCAGGCTATTTTAGTTTGTTTTGTTTGCGCCCAAATCCAAACTATTTTAGTTTGGGTTTGTCCGCGCCCAAATCCCAAACTCTGGCAAAATTAATATCTCAAACTTTATTAACAATCTTCATATAATATTTGTTCGGTAGCAAGTATAGTTTCAAGTTAGTTAATCGCAGGCTACACACGTGCCGTACCTATACTTGTTGGACAAATCCCAAACCCAAAAATACAATTGCTATTTATTAAAAATTGAATCAAAAAAAAGTAATCTTTTAATTTTGCAGATGTATTATATATAGTTATAAATATATAGCTGAATTGTTTAAATAAAGATTATTAATAAAATTTTTAAGATATGAGTTTGGCCAGAGTTTGGGATTTGGACGCAAACTATAATAGTTTGGGATTTTGCCAACATGTATAGCCGTACCTGCCTCCACCCGGGTTGACGCTTTATATCTGATATGGGATGCGTGTTATTTCGGGACGCGTACGCGGTACGAGCGTTATTTTGAAACTATTTATGCTGTTTTCAGGAGTACAATTTTCTAAATAATGACCATGCCCGTTATTTCGTGATCATACGGTAATTAATTTATGGTGTAGCGGGAAGTTGGCCTGTGGCCCTATGAATATACGACTCATAATTAGTGCTAGTAAAAAGTACAAATTTCATCAATAAATAATCCGATAAGGGCTCCCGATTCTCGATATAAAAAGATGTCTCAAGTTCTGATTGAGAATTTTATTATAAGAGGCTTTCTATATATGAAATTCTAGATATAAGAGATTTAATTGGAACCATGATTTTCTTATCGAGAACAATTAAATTAGAATTTGCTAGAAATTTTATCAGATTAAAAAAAAATTTACGTCATAATGTTT